TACTATAACACCAGAAGTATACATACAACACCCGGGAAAATGCCAGGGTTTTTATGACATTTTTTATGGGAAAAATCATAATAGCATTATTACCAAGGTCTCAACTAGCACATATGTATAGAGGACAACGAAATGCTGCTCTATTTTGGAGATCTTTCAACTCTATGACCAAAAGCCAGCACAATAATACATTTGGAAATATGCTCCCCCAAATTTACTTTTCAGAACCGTTTCTAAACAGTTTTATTCTGAGCAGTTGCACAATATCTACCATTCATCTGAATGGTAAACTCAAGCTACTACCTACCTATGGCTACTCTAAATGATAGAATCAACAAGTCTCTGGCATCTTTATAGTCCCCGAAGTGAAAACCTATGAAAATTCTTTTTGTTTTATTTACAAATAAGAGAGTGAGATTGCAAGGAGAAAAAATATTGTTGTTGCTTGCTATTTTATATTTTTTGTTTAGCCTTTATCACTCAAGTTTATCTATCTACATGTGATACAGATGTTCATATTGCATCATGTGCAATCAAAATACAGCTTATAGTCATTTCCCTTAGGTACTACTGCACAGAAATAAATTTTACTTATGTATTTTATTCAAGGGTGCTCTTCTAACAGGTTGTGTTGCATGAATATAGAATGTAAGCAAAAATTTTGGTAACACTGATCTCTGAATCCTCTGACTCCTCCTGTCTCCCTCTCCCTCTTCCTCTTCTTCCTACTTTCTCATCTTCAAGTGTATTTAACTTATATTGACACAGACCTGGATACATACTGCTTCTACTACTCTCAGGGTTAACTTGCTCCAGTTTGAACTCTACAGTCCATTTTAATAATGATGCAGAATCCACTAGGTGTATGGGCTACTTGAAAAAAATGCATTTAATTACCTAGTCCTAACAAATGTTATTTCTTCCTTTCTTTTACTTTGCATTAAATTTTTCTCTGAGTAAAATATCTAATTAAATTAATTTACACTGAGGTATAAATGACTGATTAGATTTAATAGGGAACCTATTTGAAATATATGTGTGTCAACCTATAATGAATTTATCTTTAAATTAAAATATTATTCCTGAAGGTATGTATGTAATTTCAGACATAGGGAGAAAACGATGAGAAAGTAATAGTTTTGCAAGGAAAGATTTGTATGTTTCATAAATCACATCTTATAGATCAGAATCTATTTACTTACATTTATTAGAGAATCAGAGCTGTCTTGGAATATTTATACTAGGGTTGCAGCAAACCCTGGGACTACTCAGAAAAGACATAGGCATTGTTTGGGGTCGTGAATCAGCAGGAATGAATAAGCAGAGGCTGCACCAACTTTGCCTGGCCTGCCCCACAGAGTTTTCTTGGAATTGAACCTTGGGTGAGTAGAATAAGGAGTATCCAGCATCACCTTGCTCAATCAGAATGATGCTTTGCATTAGCCTCGCTCCATCTTACAGGATTTCTCAGTTGCTTATTTCTTTGTACTTAATCATTGGCTTATTTACGATTATTAAAGCCTAACATGTAAAAAAAACAAAAAAAAAGGGGGGGGGTGCTCTGAGTAGCAATCTCTTTGTAGTACTCTCTCATGAATTTATGGAAGGAAATTTAGATATGGGAATAGCTCTTCACAGCTACCTAGTTCCAGGAACATCTTGCCTATTGTATCTAAACTTAGAGTTACCACTGAATGATCCAACTCAAATATATTGCCTACATGTCTAGCTGAAGTGTTAATTACTAATTACCTTGATCAGAAGAACAGTTTCCCTGTAAATCCTTATGCTGCTTTGCTTATGACTTATGTATTTTCTTTATGACTTTACTTATGACTTATGCTTTGCTTTTGCATGTGTATTTTCTTTAAAGTATTTTATTAATATCATGTCCTAATTTTTTGCCTGGTAGTGTGTAAGCACACTGAAGTCAGGGAGTGTCTTTCTCATTATTATGTTGCCAAAATGTAAATGTTAATAAATCCTTGAAATAAAGAATACCAAAACTAAATTAATTCCATGTGTTACATAATGCAGTAGTTGATGGAGTTGCTTAAAAGTATACATAGAATGTCCCAGGCCAGCAGGAGGTTAAGAGTGATCTAAGAACCCAAAGCAATGCTGAAACCACTTTTATGAAACTTATGTCAGTGGGGGAAATCTAACATAACTGACTCAGTCTTACTTCTAACCTTGCAAGATAACTGTCTTTGCTCATTCTTAGTTAACTATTGGAGGAATTTCATTTGTAGTTTAAGCCTAAAACAAAGATGATAAAGGTCCTTTCGAAACACTAACCTTCTCCTTGCTCAGGAGCTGAAACCACCTTTGTAAAACAAAAGAAGGGCTGCAAGGTTAGAATTGGAGTAGGTAGGGGCCTGAATTCTGCTAAGCTGTAGGCATAGTGAAACTCTAACCAGCCATTGTTTCTTTTGTTGGCATAAACTCTAAGAAGTCATTGTTTTATAACTTACTTTTTTTAAAACTACTTACTACTCAGGAGTATCACAGCCAATAGTCACAAGATTAACTTCCTCAGTTGCCCCTATGGATAACATCACTACTGTAAATACTTTAAGACTAGTGTTTGAGATATTTTTCAGACCTTGCATTCTATACAGACCAACTAACATCTCGTAGTTGCAACCCCCACCCAGTAACTGACTCAGCACAATAAGAAAGTGTCAACCCCCTACGATTTCATCCCAGACCCACCTTATCAGCAATCCTCATTCCCTAGTCCTCTGACTGCCAAGCTATCCTTGAAAAACACTAGTCCCCAAATTCTTGGGAGGCAGATTTAAGATTATCTCCTATCCTTCCACTTGGCTGGCCCTGTGATCTTTAAACTCTCTCTTTGCTGCAAGCATTCCTGTTGTTCTCGGTGTATTAGCTTTTTCTGGGCAGCAGGCAAGAAGAACCCAATGGAGTGATTACAAAACCTTCAAGTCCAGGAAAGGAAGGAGATAAAGATCTAACTTGTTCTAGAAAAGCTCACTGCAATCCAATTTGAGCAAAACATAGTGCTGAATTCCATAGGCTAAATATTTGTGAATTTGGATCAATAGAGATTATAAGACAGAAAGATGTATCACTCCCTTAGATTCCTAAAGAACAAGACAACAAAGTGAGCCTTCCTCTTGGGGAAGGCTCTGAAATAAATATGTTTACCATTTGAAGGATGTCTTCTCCAATCCAACTGAAATATTGAAATGTGCCAAAATGTTTTCAAAACTCTTTCACATTAGATAGTGTCAATGAGTAGTCACGTTTTAGAAAACTGTTTCCTTTTTTTAATAGTATAAATAAATGTTTTCTCTTCCTTTTTACCAAGAAATTCTAAATAAAGACTTTTTTTGTATGGTGACTCGCTATTCCAACATGAACTATTCAACTGTAAAACCTGGGAAACTGCCTAATACATACGTTGGAGGAAGGAATATTGTCACTATCCTGAATTCAAATAGTTTCTAACATCATTGAAGGGCTGGAAATGTTTACTGCCCCTTTCTGTTAGGTTCTTTCTCTGTCTCTCTGGGGAACATCTCTACTCATAACTTATAGAATGTTTGAGAATCTTCAAGGAGGAAAGAAGCTAAATAAATTCGCAATATTATTTCAGAGAAGAAGGGCTGGTTAAGCCAGCATTGAAGCATTTCATATTTATTTCATAACAAATTTGCAAGTCAAACAGAGTTGGCTTTATTTATTATTTATTTATTTATTTTACCTCAGCCTATTCTGGTGCTCAAAAAACCCACTTGGGATTTAGAACTCCATCTGGTTCTTCTAGTTTCCTTCATTGTCATTTGTAATGAAGAGTTTTCAATAATTTTTCAGGAGGACAGCTTTGTTCATTGATTTGTGAAATAGAATGAAACCCAGATCAGTTTATGCATATCTACCAGAGTCTTCAGAGGCTAAAATAAACATATTAAAACCTGCTTATGTCAGAAAAAAAGAACAGTGATAGACAGAGAGAAACTACTTTAACACTACTCTCTTTGACAATGGAAGGGATAAATTTTTCTTGGTATCAGTATCAGTTTACACTCATACAAAAATTCACATTCACATTTACAATTCTGAAATATGTCCATATCATGTATAAACCGTCAGAGGCACTGATCACACTATTTTGTTCTTGCTTTGATTTACCTTTCAGAATGAAAGATGGGTTTTATCATAACAAATGAAAAGAAGAGATCCCATCTTTAAACATGATTAAAAATAAGAACTGAATTCAATATCCTCACAGGGGCTGGTCAAGCACTTGTAACTTTCTTTCTGAGCAATGTTTTGCAGGTTGACTACATCCTAGGGCTTGCAGCGGAGATCTAAGTAGACAAGCCTTTGAATTGAGAATGAGCACCCTCTGTGGCATTCAGAGGTGAGGCTGCTCACACGGGTTCAGTGACCCTGGAAACTAATTCCTCAGCAGCCAACCTTTCAAAAGGAAGCCTGTAATTAAATAGGTAAAATGGCAATTGGTGGCTTGATTAAAGTGGGAGGATGGTGAGAATATTTCTACCTTTGGAAACACAGAAAATTTATCTAATGTTAATTCTTTCCCCCAAATACCATACTGTATATTTCTTATTCAAACCACTGATATTTGTGTTTATTACATGATTTTTTTTCTAAAAGGTGAACACCACAAATGCTGCCAGCAGATCTATTACTGATATGAATTCTCTGCAGGCAAAAACCCATCTAATCATCACTCCAGCAACTCCAAGGGCCTTTATTAACTTGGCAAAGTGATTTTATGCATTGCAGAGGGCAGGTAGACTAACAAACCAACACAAGTAATCCATGCAAATTCTCAGTTTCACTCGTATGAAGAGCCATCCTGTTAGCACTCTTATTTTTTCAGAGACAATGGGTTTAAGCCTCTTTCCATAAGAACAGCCCAAATTTCCAGAGTAGATGCCATGCTATATGAACTTTATTATAAAATAATAACAGACTCCTCTCCGGTTAGTTCGGCTCGAGAAGCCATGAGTAGCAAAGTCTCTCGTGATACCTTGTACGAGGCAGTGCGGGAAGTTGTGCACCGGAACCAGCAGAAATGCCTCAAGTTCCTGGATACGGTGGAGTTGCAGATCAGCTTGAAGAATTATGACCCCCAGGACAAGCGCTTCTCGGGCACAGTCACACTTAAGTCCACTCCCCGTCCCAAGTTCTCCTTGTGTGTCCTGGGGGAGCAACAGCACTGTGACGAGGCCAAGGCCGTTGGATATTCCCCACATGGATATCGAGGCACTGAAAAACTAAACAAGAATAAGAAACTGGTCAAGAAGCTGGCCAAGAAGTATGATGCAATTTTGGCCTCAGAGTCTCCGATCAAGCAGATCCCACGAATCCTTGGCCCAGGCCTAAAGAAGGCAGGAAAGTTCCCTTCCCTACTCACACACAAGGAAAACATGGTGGCCAAAGTGGACGAGGTGAAGTTTACAATAGAGTTCCAAATGAAGGTGTTATGTCTGACTGTGGCTGTTGGTCATGTGAAGATGACAGACGATGAACTTGTGTATAACATTCACCTGACTGTCAACTTCCTGGTGTCATTGCTCAAGAAAAACTGGCAGAATGTCCGGGCATTATTATCAAGAGGACCGTGGACAAGCCCCAGTGCCTATGTTAAGGCACATTTGAGTAAATTCTGCTGTTACCAGTCAAAAAATAAAATAAAAAATAAAATCAGGCCGGGCGCAGTGGCTCATGTCTCTAATCCCAGCACTTTGGGAGACCGAGGCAGGTGGATCACAGGTCAGGAGATCGAGACCATCCTGGCCAACATGGTGAAACCTCGACTCTACTAAAAATACAAAAATTAGCCGGGCGTGGTGACAGGTGCCTGTAGGTAGTCCCAGCTACTAGGGAAGCTGAGGCAGCAGAATCACTTGAACCCAGGAGGCAGAGGTTGCAGTGAGCTGAGATTGCGCCACTGCACTCCAGCCTGGCGATAGAGTGAGACTCTGTCTCAAAAAAAAAGAATAAATAAATAATAATAATAATATAGTAATTATTATAATATTGGTCTTTGGTATTTGTGGTAGAATAAAACCACATGTGTCCCCTTTTCTAATTGAAAATGACTCATCCTCAAGCAATAATCATAGTAGACACAGAAGCAAAAGCATTATATTCAAGGAAATGATGTAACTTCAAAGCACAATAGATGAAACTTAAAAGTTGTTAGTCAAGGATAATAAAGGAGTTGTCAGGAGAGCTCATTCCGAAACATGTAAATCTGAAGATAAACAAGCAGGTTTTGTTCACAGAATCCCCCAATAGCTGAGAAACTGGGCACTGGGAAGACTGAAGTGGAAAAACAAGGTGGGACATCAAAAGGGTTAGTCTAGATTAACAGACAACAAGAGAACAGTTAAAAGCCCAGCTTCCAACACCACTTGGAGCAGAAAAGCAACACCCTGCACTATCTTCATAGGAGAAAAGGGGTCATTTTTCTGGGGAGAAAAAAAAAAACCAGAGAGACTTGAAGTTATAGACAGAAGATCATTAAGGTGAAGTGCTGTTCTGAAGGCAGAATGATTAAGTTGAAGTCTGCCTATTTGATGATTATTAGGCCTCCAGCTTTCTTTCCTCTGTCAACCACAGAAGAGACACAATCTGGTGTAAACTCACCACACTCTCAGGCAGGAGACTGGAAAATTTATCCCAAGACAAACTAAATCACTAAGTCTTATCAGACCCAAGAATTCTGCATCCAAGTCAATCATTGGGAAAGCTTATCAACAGATCATTTGATACTACAGAACTACAGTAAGGCTGAGTAATTGAGATAAAGGTATCTTAGATAGTTGAGGGTACAGTAATGAAGAAAATAGGAAAGTTAGTTGTAGGTATATCTGAAGTAGTTAGATACCCCCAACCCCCTTCACCACTATAGTAGGCAGAATCTCAGATGACCCCCAGGATTCCCATCCCTGGCACACATACTCTGTATAGTCCCTTCCCTTGAGTTTGGGGGAAATGTGTGAATATAATGGTATATCACTCCCTTAATTAAGTAACAGCATTGGGTCCTTCTTGCATTGCCATAAAGAAATACCTAAGACTGGGTAATTTATAAAGAAAAGAGGTTTTATTAGCTCATCATTCTGTAGCCTGTACAAGCATGGTGCTGGCATCTGCTCAGCTCCTGAGGAGGCTTTTACTCATGATAGAAGGTGAATCAGGAGCAGGCATGTCACATGGTGAGAGCAGCAGCAAGAGAGAGTGGGGAAGATTCCACACACTTTAAACAAGATCTCGTGAGAACTCACTCATTGTGATCCCATGGATCACAGTGGGGTCATGGATATGCCCCCATGACCCAAACACTTCACACCAGGTCCCATTTCCAACATTGGGGATTAAATTTCAACATGAGGTTTGGGCAGAAACAAATACCCAAACTATATCAGTCACCTTGTGTGGAAAATATGATGGGAGGGTCCCTCCTGGGACTACATTATCTTTTTTACAATTCCCTCTTGGTGGGCTAGAGAGAAATTCCCCTGCTGGCTTTGAAGAAGTAGCTACTATGTCGTGAAAGGGTTAGGATCAGCCAACAACCAGCAAGGAAATGGAACCCCAGCCTAAAACCACAAGGCATTTAATTCCACCAACAACCTGAATGAGCCTGGAAGAAGATCCCAGGCTCCCAAGGACACCTTGATTTTGACCTTGTGAGAAGCTGAGCAGAAGACTATTATGCCAATTATGCCAAGGCCAGACTTCTGACCTACAGAACTGTGAGATAATGAATAGGTGGACGTTAAACTGCTATCATTGTGAAGCGCATTCACTGGGCGCAGGTTACCAACTAGTCTGAGTCGGGTAAGATATAACACCCACACACAAGGTTACATGAAGCAGGTTTATTAATTATACATAGGCAGCAAGGGACAATGGAAGCCTAAGACTCATGTTGAGCCAGGCTCCTAAATGAATGTCATGCCCCTAAAGCTCAGGAAAGCTGCCTAGGGTGGATGGACTCTCATCTCTATGTGCCTCTCTTGCAGCCAGCCCACCCTGGGCTTTATACCTCAGGGTCACAAGACTGGCTGGGCTGACCCACTTAAGGATGTCCTGTTTCTATGGGGGAACTGGAACAGACTCTAGACTGATCCTACCAGTTCCTCCTTACATCAAGGTGTTCCATTCCCAGTACATTCCACAGTTACATTGAGAACTACAAGTGAGAAAGAGGGAGAAGAGCTGGATTTCTCTAAGGCTACCTGGAGAACTGTTTTCCAATGATTGTTTTAATTTGTTACTCAACCATAAAAACTATACACCAACCAAAGGAAGACCTTTAAGAGAGGCTGAGATACTTACAGGGACCTGTATTTGGAGGCACCAAGATCAGCACAGGGTGGGTGCTGTCTGTAGCAGATTGGGTGTATTGTCAGGAACCTGGCAATAAAAAAATGGCACACTCAAACTAGATAATTAAAAAGAGTTTAATAAAATGGCCCATTAAAATGCATGAACATTGGCTGGGCGTGGTGACTCATGCCTGTACTCCCAGCACTTTGGGAGTCCAAGGCAGGCGGATCACGAGATCAGGAGATTGAGACCATCCTGGCTAACACGGTGAAACCCTGTCTCTACTAAAAATACAAAAAAAAAAAAAAAAAAAATTTAGCCAGGCATAGTAGTCCCAGCTACTCGGGAGGCTGAGGCAGGAGAATGGCGTGAACCTGGGAGGCGGAGCTTGCAGTGAGCCGAGATCGCACCACTGCACTCCAGCCTGGGCAACAGAGCGAGATTCCATCTCAAAAAAAAAAAAAAAAAAAAAAAAAAAAAAAAAAAAAAAAAAAAAAAAAAAAAAATGAACATTAAAGAAATGAACAAAGGATAGGGCAGTATTCCAGGAACAGCAACGGCAGGAGCCATTACCACTTCTAGGTCTGAAGGGGCAAGGATATGGAGTAGATACTAGAACTCAGAGAGTAGCTGTACAGAAAAAGCTATTATTTGGCAGGAGCTGTGTACTTCAGCAGAGGGTTGCAGCTAACTTAAGATAAAACCATCATTGAAAAACTCTGAGCAACATAAATGCAGATGTCTTCTTCTTTCCTCTAATCTCCTGATAGTGTCTACACAGAGTGAGCCAAACAAGAAAATAGAGATGAGAGACGTTCATTGGTGTATCTCACTGGAAGCATGAATGAATGAAATTGCATTCAATTAATATATTTATTTTAGGAAAGATATGTATTTTCCTCCGTTCTTAGCCACACGACCCTCAAATTTGATCTGGGCACATAGCTACTTGGAATAAAGTCTGTATTAATAGCCTTTTTTGCAGGTGAGTGAGCTTCTCAGGGCAATTGTTGGGAAGGAAAAACATGGAATGGAATACGAAGAGACACAGAGAACTTATTTACACAGACAACGATGTGTGCCCATTAGTGTCTTTCTCCCTTTTCCAGGTGACAAATGTCTTTTACATAGGGTCTCGACAGCAGAGTGATATAGATTTGAACTAAGCCTACTATTGTATTTTAAATAAATTAGTAGGAATAAAGGGAAGAAATAAATAATTAATGAACATAAACCATAGCTGTAAAGGTCCTCATTTCCAGAGCCAGTCACAAGCTCTAAGTTAATAGTCGTAGCTACTTTTTCTCATCACCCATTTTATCCTATCTAGGCCAGATGCTTGCAGAGAGTAAGGAGAACATTACCAGAAATTAAGCACAAAGTTCACTCATCTGCAAAGAAGGCTATTAATACAGACTTTACTCCAAGTAGCCATGTGCCCAGCTCAAATTTGAGGGTTGTGTGGCTAAGGAAGAGGGAAAATAAGTATCTTTCTTAAAACAAATATATTAATTGAATGCAATTTCATTTGTGCTCCCAATAAGATGTTGGTATATTATTTGTTTTTTATTTTGTTACTATATTATGTTTGTTTTGAATTGAATAAAAATAATCTTTTTAAACGGAAGAATGTCTAAGATTAAGTAAATTGTCAAAAAAAGGAAAAAAAAAATAAAGGCAAGTCATCTTATCAGATATCAGAACATACTATAAATCCATTAAAATAGAATTATAGTATTCATAGTGGTATAGAGAAGTATACTAGTAGAACAGAACAAAATTCAAAAGTAGATCTTAGTGTATTTTAAAATGTAATATACAGTAACGGTGATAGTTTAAATTTAGAGGCTTAATGGTATATTATTTAATAAATGGTACTTGTACATTGCATAGAAAATGTATTTGGATTTTTATTTTATGTCACGTATAAAAATAAGTTCCAGAAAGGATTATGATATTATAAACAAACTAAACTATGTTGAGCAATTGGAAAGCTATGTTACTAATCTAATTGCATAAGAGACCAGCTTAATGAAGACTAGAAACCTAGTAGCTCAGTAAGAAAGGAAATATAGGGTGGACAACATAAAGTAGAAAAAAAATGCAAGATATATCAAAAACTAGGTCAGTAGAAGATTAATAGACTGATAAAATGTTTAAGTAGCACAGATGACATAGGTTTAGTCTCTATAATAAAAATCACTTATATATTGATAATGAGAAGACAACCAATTCAAAGAATGATAGGTAAGCAGTATGAACAATTTACCCAAAAGCAAATCTAAGTGGCCAATAAACATATGGATAGTGGTTTAATATAACTGATGAGCAAGGAATTATGAGTCAAAGTAACAGTGAATTATATTATAATCTATATACCTAAGCTTAGCAACAGACTGGAGATGGAACATGTTACTAGCATGGAGAAGTAATGTGGTAGTTAGAGTGGGGATATGAGCAGAGGAGAGAAGATGAGGGCTGTACAATTTGATTGTACTTATATATTCAATGGAAATGTATGTGTGTGTGTATTGTATAGAGATTACATAATATTTTTAAGCTAGCACATCCATTCTACTCAAGAAATCTCTTCTAGTGATTACATTTGCAAAGGTACACAAAGATGCTCATTGTAGCATTTTTTATAATTCCAAAAATGATATAAACCTTAAACCATGAAGGTAATGGTTTAATAAATTATAGCATATTTCCACTGTAAGACACCATAGAGTAAAGAATAGGTAAAGATACACTTACTGAGGGGGACTATTGTGCAAGTTACTAAATAATATGAATGATATTAGGTTGGTGCAAAAGTAATTGTGGTTTTTGCATTAAAAGTAAAGTTAAAAAACGCAATTACTTTTGCACCAACCTCATATTATGCCATTTCACATTTTATATATGTATGAATATTTATATGTTTGGAATAAATAGTGAAAACTCTATTAGGATGCATGCTAAACTCTTAATAGTGTTACCTTTGGAGGGAGTAAAATTCAGGAATTTGGAGCTATAATGATATATGTGTACATGTATATAGTTATACAGATAACTATATAGTTATACAGATAACCATATACATAACTATATGTGTGTGTTTGAGCTGTTTGAGCATTTCATAAGGATAATGGATTCATAAATTATATTATCTGCATATTAAAATGATACTAATAATCACATCAGAAATTATATATTGAGTTCTCTACAAGCACAAGATACTTTATATTTTTGCCAGGCAGAATAATGCCTCCACCCCTGGACAAAAAGAAAAGGGATGTCCGCATTTGAATGACTAGAATCGGAATATGTTTTGTTGCATGGCAAAGGGGAATTAGGTTGCATTAAAGGGGAACTGGATGACTTTAAAACAGGAAGACGTTTATAGAATATCTGGGTGGGCCCAATGTAATCTCAAGGGTGCTTAAAAGCAAAAGCAGAAGGCAAAAGAAGAGTCAATGTCAAAGCGATAAGATGTGAGAGAGACTCAACAGGCCATTGCTGGCTTTGAAAATGGAGGGAATGTGGAAATTGTCCATAAGCTCGAAAAGCGAGGAAACAGATTCTTCCCTGCAGCCTCCAGAAGAAATGCAGCTCTGCTGACATCTTGATTTTAGCCAGCTATGTCCGTTTTGGAGTTCTGAATTACCGAACTGTGAGATAATCAATTTGTGTTGTTTTAAACCACTAAGCTTGTAGTAATTTGTTAAAGCACCAACAGGAAACTTATGCAATATGCATCACCTCATTTAAAATTTACAAGGATCCTGGGAGATATACACAACAGTGGACCCCCATTTAAACAAGAAAAAAACCATTGTTCATAAGGTTTGTTTAGGGTGACACAGCTCGTAAGTGCTGTGGACAGGACTTGAGTTAGTTCCAGAGGAATCTAGAGCCTCTCCTGGCTGCCATTTTGTATTCTCTGTCCTCTGACTTATAACTCCAGTGCTCCTGGCTCAGTACTCAGTCACCAGCAGATATTTACCATCATATAAGTCAGTAAGAATCAGGTTTGAGGGGTAAGACAAATCTCCATTTAAACCCACTCACTAGCTGTGTGGTTGGTCTAAAACAAACTACTCAATTTAAGCTTGTTTCCTCATCTATAAAAGAAGAGAAACACTTTCTACCTTCTGGGCTGAGGAAAAGCATTCAGTGAAATAATGTATGAAAACTGTCCAACAAAAAGCTTCGTATAGATTTTGTTTTTAATAAATGATATTTATTGTTGGTGAGGACTCTTACTTTGTTATAATGACTCTGGGAAGCTGTTTTTCCTCTAGATGAGGTTTTAGGTTTTCTTCCTACCTTTGTCGAATCTGTCAGCTCCTGATTCAGAGACGGTGGTTAGTGCCTGTGGCACAGAACTATAACTACAAACTAGGGAACTATTAACTGAGTACAAGTATAGAAGAAGTGGCTTTTAGTGGTGTGGGCACCAGTGATCCATAAGATGAATCCGGTGGCAAAAATGTACTGTTAATAATGTATATTTCTCCCGTGGGACGACATCACAGAGGAACAAAAGGAAAAAAAAAAAAAAACACTCAGAAAATGTCCTTAAAATTTAAACTTGGTTAGTATGCTATGAGACTCTAGAAAAGAGGACCTCTCTATTTCAATCAAAATTATGTTGGCCTTCTGTTTTCTGCCCATGGGTCCCAGACAGAGTTTTCTCAGAATATCATTTGTCTTCCACTCAATAAACGTATTCTGTTGGTCTAGGTACTTCATGAACTTCTTCAAACATTCCTTTGAAACACTCATTTCAGGCTCTAAGTTCTTCACCACTTCGAGTTTGGCTTTTTAAACAATTGCCCTTAGTGATGATTTATGAACGATTACTTACAAGGATAACTCTTGATGATTCTCTATAGAAGATAATCTTCGCTCTTGTCAAAGCTCCCTCTGGTTCTGAGTTGTCCAGTATCTGATACAAGGCTGATATATATTATGCACTCAACCTGGATCCATTGAATAAATGAATGAATGAGTGACTGAGTGAGTGAATTATCAGATGAACCGTGAGGGTGAGGCAACAGGTGTGGTCACTAACAACTCATTCATGGGACTAGATCTTCCCCTGCTTCTCATTTGAAAGGAAAGTAAATCAGAGTGAGTGCACATTCCCAAGGGACCTCAAGTTACTGGTTCCAATGTCTTCAGACCATCTTGGCTATTTGTGTATGTGCCCCTTTGGAAAACTAAGGAAGGAAATAAAAAGCCTTCTAGGAGTTTTGTTTTGTTTCCCAAAACTCAGAGGTAATAAAGCATTTACATTGTTAATGGCTTTTTCAAAGTGTGTTGACACCCAAGTGGTTTGGAAGAAGAGTTTTTGTGTGGGGGAAATACTATGATGCTTTAGCCAGGGCAACTCTGGCTTTTTCTATGAAGTTTCTGTACTTGTAGTGCCCTTCATTCAAGTGACCTTTGTCCTGCTTGTTGTTGCAGATTATTTGAACTATCTGCAGACTCAATGAAACCAGAAGGATAATTGCACAGAATGGATAATGTATAGCAATAGCAATTTATTCAGATGATTATTGTCAACCATGACACAGGGCTTTCTTAATCACATCTATGATTACTATACTTGCTAATGATACTGTATCATTTTTTCCCTAATACTGTAAAGTGCTTCCTACATGTCACAAAGCTATTGAAACACACATCTACAGGGCAATTGATAAAATGTTTTCATTGTTCAAACTGCATGTATTCACATTATAACATCTGCTATACAAAATGCATAAATGATCACAGAGTTATAGCTTAGAAGAGGATCTCCAAAAAGTAATTTTATCCAGTCCGCTGCCTTAAATAGTTACATATCCAAACCATCAAAGACAAATGGTTGTAATTCCCACTTAAAAAATCATAAGGCGTGGACTCTGCATAACACCTTAAATGGACTGTTTTGGTACTTGATCACCATTTTGTCAAGAACTTCTGCTATAAGCTGAGTAAGTAAGAGCAAATTATACATATATCTAAGAATATACCTATTTCTTTGTTGGGACTGAAAAAAATATTTCATGCCTCCTCTATCACACTGAAATCACATAATAGATTTTGCTTTTTGAGATTGAATACTGAAACTTTCCAACTCTGTTAACACTTTTTACAATAAATATATTAATTGAATTTAATCCCCTTGGACATTCTTTGGTCCCTAAATACAAATTTTATTATTTGACCTTAAGAAAAATGGCAACACATAGGATATAAGGAGATAAGACTTAGAAATGAGGATCTCTACCCACATCTTCAGTGTTAGTTACTTGATTCATAAACACTAACCAAATATACTGAACTGTTTAAATTCAAATTCAGCTAATATGCAAAGGCTTCAACTAGAAGGCGAGCTCTTAATTAACCGAAAAATTATTAACTTTAATTTTGTTGTTGCTGTTGTTAAACTGAAAGCTCATTGACAGAATAACATTTCACAAAGAAACCTGAAAAAGCCTAAGGCATTTAGGTAACCTAGTGAGAAACAAATCCATGAACTACAAAAACAGGAAAAAATAGAGTATAATGGGAACATCTGGGCAAACTTCATGGAGAACTGGAATGTCTGCCATTACTGTCCAAAACTCAACCATCGCGCTTAGGACTGAGAGTCGCTCTGTTTTTCATCTTGCCCATTCAAATGCTGGTTTTCATTACTTTCATTCCAGAGGTTCTCCTTACTTGTGACTCAGGGCCTTCTTATTTCTGCTTCTCTCTTCTAATTTTCTCCCCACATCTCCAAGGTTACTAAGACTGCTTTTAACCCTTTCTACCATTTTTCTCTGTCTCTGTTACTTGTGTTCCTAATTCTGTAAAAGAAAAAAAAAGACCTAATTGAATCAGGTAGTCACTATTCAGTATTATTGGTTGAAATTATCTCACCACATTGCCTCATAGGTAACTGACCAAACTTTTCAGTATACCCTAGATCTTCTCATCCAAAACACTGGAGTTAGAGTAACAGCATCACATGACTGAGTATGACACCCCATGTGCAAGCAAATGACCATGACCACTTATCTCAAGTGAGGTCATCCATGTGAGAAGCACATTATGCAATCAAGTGCCTGGTGAAACAAAACTAAACAAAACAAAAAAACCTCCTTACTAACTTGAAGAAAACCTTTTAACAATAGAGACTGAAATTTATTGCTTACACAGTCCTGCCTGATGTACCACGGGGAATGCAATACACTGGTAAGCACTATTGCATATTGTAAGGATATTTACCAAAGATAGTCATTTAGTTAATAGCTTCAGGGATTGCACTGTGAACAAAACATCTTGCTGAGTCCTGCATGAAGGTGCCAGTAAGGAATGGTGATGTTAGGAAATAAGGACTAAGTCATGATATTGTACCCATCACCAAAGAAGCTCATTATATAGTAAGACAGACACAAAAATCATGCAAATATAAATAATGTAAGGGAGTGAATAATATTGGGAAAGGAAAGAAGTACAGAATCTCTCTGGCAACTTCCAGTGCTTCCTTTGTGCTAATATTCCAATTGGAACAGTGCAGGGATAAATGTCAATCAACAATAGAAAGTCATTCCAAGTTTCAAAGGCCAAAACCTTCCTGATGCTAAGGCCTGAAGAATGAAGGGATGAACCTGCTGAAGAATGGACCAGAGAGAGAGAAGTGGGACTGGCCTTCAGTCATCTCCTGGGGTGTTACTTGTTGGTAAAGTGTCCTCTTGGATCTGGAAACAGAAGAATGGGCCATGTGGGGAGACTGTTTTTAAACCATATTTAACTGCTTACCCTTTCAAGTTGTGGAAATTTTCAGTAGTTGACATTCATTCATTTATTCATTTACTAAAGCAACTTTCACTGCAGGTCCAACATATGTTAGAGTACATATGGTGAATCATATATAATCCTTGCCCTAACAGACATATAAAGTGATAATTGTGTCATATTTTTATATTTGTATCTATATGGCAAAATAATTAAAATTTTCTTTCAAAATGCTACAGAGATGGAAGAGGAGGAAACTAAATAGACTTGATAGAGATGTCAGTGAAGGTAAGAAAGTTCTGCAGATGAGAGGCAATAGAGAGATTATTGTAGGAAACATACTGCAAAAATGCACCCTTGTGAAATGAAATGCTTGTTTCAAGATTATTGAGTTTTTCAATGGGATCAGAGGGTCAGGTTTGCATGTGATGCAGCAGAAGGCACAGCTAGAGACTGTGTGCAGTGGCTCAAGCCTATAATACCAGCACTTTGGAAGACTGAGGTGGGCAGATCACCTGAGGTCAGGAGTCTGAGACTAGCATGGCCAACCACGGCCAACATGGTGAAATCCTGTCTCTAGTAAAAATACGAAAATTAGCTGGGTGCAATGGCATGTACCTGTAATCCCAGTTAGTCAGGAGGCTAAGGCAGGAGAATAACTTGAACCTGGGAGGTGGAGGTTGCAGTGAGCCAAGATCATGCCACTGTACCCCAGTATGGGCAACAGAGGGAGACTCTGTCAAAAAAAAAAAGCACAGCTAGACAAATGTGGATCAATAATCTCCACATGAAGCTGTAAATAAAGCTCTTATAGTCAAATTAATTGAGATTTATTGATATCAAATTATTTCTTGTGATTGTGCTTTTCTTTTTTTTTTTTTCTTTTTTTCTTTTTTATTTTTAATTTATTTATTATTATTAAACTTCAAGTTGTAGGGTACATGTGCACAACGTGCAGGTTTGCTACATATGTATACTTGTGCCATGTTGGTGTGCTGCACCCATCAACTCGTCATTTACATCAGGTATAACTCCCAATGCAATCCCTCCTCCCTCCCCCCTCCCCATGATAGGCCCCGGTGTTATTTTTATAAAAATAGGTGCTTAATTCAGTATGTTTTTATTACAATCAAGCTAACCTACTGCATGGAATTTCTTAGTAGTAACTCTTTTGAAGAAAGTCAGATGTCATTAAAATGTTAGGCTTGTCATTGACTAGGTAATGTTAAGCAAGTTACTTAACCTTTCCAAGACTGTTTCATGTATAGAGAGGGGATGATAAGACCACATGAGCTGTTGTGAAGATCAAATTGGTGATACCTGTGACTACCTGTCACATAGCAAATACTGAATGAATATAGCTATAATTAAGTTTCTAAGATAGTTCTTTTCAAATATAACTATATAACTATATAATTGTAATTATATAATAAATGTAACTTAGCCATAGAAGTTTCTTTAAGTGTTAGAAGCCACATATAGAAATGAATTAACTGAGATATAAAATTTAGGTGCTAGAATCTGAATGGTCATGCTTTCTCCCAGTCCCATCTTCTACCCAGGTAACCTCTAAAGGGCTCTGCCAATCACACCTTCCTTCCAAATAAATTATTGAATAAACAAACAAACTGATCTTTATCCAGAGTTCGTTTCTCCAGCATTTGTTTTCCTTTGTATCAGTTCTAGGCATCAGCATTGGAAGCATTGTTCTTTCTTTAATACTGCGTAGTGTATCACTTAAATCCCATGATGTGTTTCAATCTCTCCTACTTTATGTTCCCTAAGTTAGTAATTGTGATAAAGTATCATTCAAAAATGTTTAACTGCATTTAAGTGCACAATACCTTCAAGCAAATTAGAAAAACTTTCCCCTGTGTGTGGACTTCTAGGTAAAGGAGGACCCTTGAGAATGTCACTTGACAAGTCAATGGCATTGTTATAAAAATTAGAAAAAGTCAGCCATTTTTCTGAGCAAATTAAGACCTAAGCTATGTGTAGGCTGAGCAATGACTAGATTTAAACCCTCATCTGGCTCTTATTTATATATTATTATTTTCAGTTCAAACCCCAATTCATCAAGAGATGTTTTAGAAACAAAATTGGGTTGAAATTATTCTTGGTCCTGTTGAAAGTCTCGCTTTTAAGAGAATTCCAAGCATAGACAATATTTGTATATTTAGAAAACCCCATCATCTCAGTCCAAAATCTCCTTAAGCTGATAAGCAACTTCAGCAAAGTCTCAGGATACAAAATCAATGTGCAAAAATCACAAGCATTCCTATACACCAATAACAGACAAACAGCCAAATCATAAGTGAACTCCCATTCCCAATTGCTTCAAAGAGAATAAAATACCTAGGAATCCAACTTACAAGGGATGTGAAGGACCTCTTCAAGGAGAACTACAAACCAGTGCTCAGTGAAATAAAAGAGGACACAGCCAAATGGAAGAACATTCCATGCTCATGGATAGGAAGAATCAATATCATGAAAATGGCCATACTGCCCAAGGTTATTTATAGATTCAATGGAATCCCCATTAAGCTACCCATGACTTTCTTCACAGAATTGAAAAAAACTACTTTCAAGTTCATATGCAACCCAAAAAGAGCCCACATTGCCAAGACAATCCGAAGCCAAAAGAACAAAGCTGGAGGCATCATGCTACTTGACTTCAAACTATACTACAAGGCCACACTAACCAAAACAGCATGGTACTGGTACCAAAACAGAGATATAGACCAGTGGAACAGAACAGAGGCTTCAGAAATAACACCACACATCTACAACCAACTGATCTTTGACAAACCTGACAAAAACAAGAAATGGGGAAAGGATTCCCTTTTTAATAAATGGTGCTGTGAAAACTGGCTAGCCATATGTAGAAAGCTGAAACTGGATCCCTTCCTTACACCTTACACCATTAATTAACAAAAATTAATGCAAGATGGATTAGATACTTAAATGTTAGACCTAAAACCATAAAAACCCTAGAAAAAAAACCTAAGCGATACCATTCAGGACATAGGAATGGGCAAGGACTTCATGTCTAAAACACCAAAAGCAATGGCAACAAAAGCCAAACTTGACAAATGGGATCTAATTAAACTAAAGAGCTTCTGCACAGCAAAAGAAACTACCATCAGAGTGAACAGGCAACCTACAGAATGGGAGAAAATTTTTGCAATCTACTCATCTGAAAAAGGGCTAATATTCAGAACCTACAAAGAACTCAAACAAATTTACAAGAAAAAAACAAACAACCCCATCAAAAAGTGGGCAAAGGATATGAACAGACATTTCTCAAAAGAAGACGTTTATGCAGCCAACAGACACATGAAAAAATGCTCATCATCACTAACTATCAGAGAAATGCAAATCAAAACCACAATGAGATACCATCTCACACCAGTTAGAATGGTGATCATTAAAAAGTCAGGAAACAACAGGTGCTAGAGAGGATGTGGAGAAATATGAACACTTTTACACTGTTGGTGGGACTGTAAACTAGTTCAACCATCATGGAAGACAGTGTGACAATTCCTCAAGGATCTAGAACTAGAAATACCATTTGACCCAGCCATCCCATTACTGGGTATATACCCAAAGGATTATAAATCGTGCTGCTATAAAGACATCTGCACACGTATGTTTATTGCAGCACTATTCACAATAGCAAAGA